ACCCCCGGGTTTTCCCCGCCCCCGCGGTTTAAAAACGCGCCCCGGTAATTTTTATTCGCCCCCCTTTGGGGGGAATTGGGCCCCCCAAAATCATTCCCGGGGCCCCCCCCATTTTTTGAAAAAGGGGATTTTTCCCTTTGTTATTGAAAAACCCGGTCCCGGGAAAACCCCGGGGTCTCCCCCCCCGTTTTTTGGGGGGGGGGGGGTAAAGGTCAAAAAGTTTCGGCCCCCCCGGGTTTGGGTCCCCCCCCCCCCCCCCCCCCCCCCCCCGACTTCATCACCAAATACGCCAATAATCAAGCACACACAAGCGCAATTCCCGCACCTACGCCGGAAGCAGCCCCGTTAGGCCCACGGAACACGACGGGCACCGGGCAGTCCCCCGCAGACATGTACAGCTGCTTTGCCGCGGAGTTGAGGATCTGGTCGATGGCCTGGAGGGAAAAGTTGAACGTCATGAACTCCACCACCGGACGGAGATCCTTGTAGGCCGCCCCCGTGGCGAGCCCCGTGAATCCCATCTCCGTGATGGGGGTGTCGATCACCCTCTGCTCCCCGTACTTCTGGTAAAGCCCCTTGGTGACCTTTCGGGTGCGGTGTAGGGTGTTGCAGCGGTGGTTCGGGAGGGGAAACGGTTCGAGGCAGCAGCACAAATCGCAGGGTTGAAAACAAGTCTGTCAGATAAAACACTTGCAAGGAGTCTTTCTGTCTTGTGTACAATGTCTTTCTGTGATTGAAACACTCAGGCATGCCTGGTCGTTGGCTTGTGCTTGAAAATTAAGTTTGGTTCAAGGACAAACGTGCGGCGTATACGCCCACTGCCCCCGTTAACTCTAGCCGAGCCCCGTGAACTTTGGAGCACAGCTTCGAAGAAGAAAAAGCAAAGAGGAACACGCGTCAACCGCGCGTCAGAAATGGATTCTAGATAAGGCTCCAGCCAGTCAAGTAGATAATGTTGACGGCTTCTTGCCCGTGCTTCAACCTCTACGAGGTTTGTCGCGATATTTCTTTGCTAATACATCTCGACGAAGGCGCGCTCCACAAAGGTTGCGAAGGCACGAACGGGGTTCCCCGTAAAGCATTGTGAGAATAACCTTGCTCCGTTATGAGCAAAGGTCCCGGAAGTGGTGAATAACCGTTCACCAACGGAGGTAATTTCGCTCTTAATGCAATGTGGCCAGGAATGGCCAAGCGTGGCTGACGTTAGTCAGCCTTGCTAGGGCAGCAGACGGAGGGTCTTTTCGTTGTATAGATCCGTGA